CTCTCTCTCTCTCTCTCTCTCTCTCTCTCTCTCTCTCTCTCTCTCTCAAAAGATTTATTTATTATAAATACAGTGTTTTGCCTGCATGCCAGAAGAGGGCACCAACTCTCATTATAAATGGTTGTAAGCTATCATGTAGCTGCTGGAAATTGAATTTAGTACCTCTGGAAGAGCAGTCAGTGCTCTTTTGTTTTGTTTTAGCTTTTCAAGACAGGGTTTCTTTGTAGCTTTGAAACCTGTCCTGGAACTCTCTCTGTAGACCAGGCTGGCCTTGAACTCACAGAGGTCCACCTGTCTCTGGAGGCCTTCCAAGTGCTGGGATTAAAGGCGGGCACCGCCACCATCCAGCAAGAGCCAAGGCTCTTAACCTCTGAGCCATCTCTCAAGCCCCTGGTTTTTCTTTTAAATTTGGTTTTGTTTTGGGAGGGAGGCTGCATGGGCAGAGGGCAGAGGTGAGGGGACAGAGAGATGAGTGGGATCAGAATGCATGATGTGACATCCACGAAGAATCAATAAAAGTTTAAGAGACAGAAGAAAAGTAGCATTTAATTGTCTTTACAATAGTCAGATACACCTTGCTGGTGGCTTTTGAAGTTATTGCCTTTAAAGAGTTTGTCAGAAACCTAAATGAGATCACAGGTGGTTCCTGAGGGCTCCTGATAGGATTACAGGTAACCTAGTAGAATTTGGGGTCATATATAGTAAGACAGCATGTCTCTACTGTAAGCAAAATCTGGCTGATGAGAGTCCCAGAAAATGTCCTGGAGAGGAAATAGGCCCTATTGGTTCATTATTATTATTTATTGTTATCATTTTTTGTTTTTGTCTTTTGAGGCTGGTTTCTCTATGTGTCCCTGGTGGTCCTGAAACTTGCTCTGTAGACCAGACTGTTCTCAAACTCAGAGATCTGCCTGCCTCTGCCTCCTGAGGGCTAAAATTAAAGGTCAGTTTGCCACCACACCTGTTTTTTTCAATATTATTGTAAAGTAAAATATCTATATATGAAAGTAATATTAGTTCTTTGTCTACAATCTTCATATCAAATATATTTGTGCCAGAATTATTGATTCTCAGCCTGTGAGAGACCTTAGCCAGACTCCAGGATGAGAAGTTTCTTTCCCTTCCTTTGTCCTCCACAATTTTCCATCTTTTTATCCTGCCCCAGTATCATAACATGGCTTTTTAAAAAAAAAAATAAAATAAAAACAACAAAAACCATATGTACCCAGCTATCAAGATGGTCTAGTAAATAAAAATGCTTGCCACCAAGCCTGCAGACCCAACTTCAGCCACTGGAACCCACATGGTGGCAGAAGAAAGCTGATTCCTGAGAGTTGTCCTCTGACCTCCACACACATGCAGAGGCATGAAGGTGCCTGCACTACGTATGTACAAAGAAAACAGAAAAACAAATGTATATGCTGAAACACAAATTCTTCTTCCAAGCATGTTGGTGACACTCTATGTTTTTTTGTTTTGTTTTGTTTTTTCTTTTTTGGTTTTTCGAAACAGGGTTTTTCTGTGTATCTCTAACGGTCCTGGAACTCACTCAGTAGAACAGACTGGCCTTGAACTCACATAGGTCCGCCTGCCTCTGCCTCCGAGTGGTGGGGTTAAAGGCGTGCGCCACCACTGCCCTGCATCACTCTTATGTTGATTGCTTGACAACACAGAAGATAATGGTCCTAAGTGGTTTTTTTTCCATGGTAGAGAGGCCTCATGCTATGTATTTATAGCTTTCAGTGGAAAAGATGCAATGATTATAAAGAAATCTAGTTGTCTAAAATGAACGTCATTAGAAAACAAATCAAAAGACAAATGACAACTGGGAAAATATTTATCACATAGAATAAGGAGATGCTGGGGCTGGAGAGATAGCCCAGTAGTTCAGAACATTTGCTGCTCTTCCTGAGTCAGGTTCACAGCAACCACATGACAAGCTCATAACCTTCCATAAGTCCAGCTCTTGGGAACCTATGCCTCTGTTGGCACCAGGCACACATGTCGTGCACAGACATACGTGCAGGCAAAACACTCATATGCATAAAATTAGACTGAAAATTTTAAAGTTAAAAAACAAGACAAAGAGCCGGGTGGTGGTGGCGCACGCCTTTAACCCCAGCACTCTGGAGGCAGAGGCAGGCGGATCTCTGTGATTTCGAGGCCAGCCTGGTCTACAAGAGCTAGTTCCAGGACTGGCTCCAAAAGCTACAGAGAAACCCTGTCTCGAAAAACCAAAAAAAAAAAAAAAAAAAAAAAAAAAAACAAACAAGAAAAAAAAAAGAAATAACCGGATGGAGAGATGACTCAGCACTTAAGGGCACTTCTTGCTCTCCCAGAGGATCCAGGTTCAGTTCTCAGCATCCACTCACAGCCGTCTGTAACTCCAAGGGATCTGGCACTCTTACACAGACATACATGTAGGCAAACACCAATGCACATTAAAAAAAAAATAACTAGCCGGACACCTTGGTGCATGCCTTTAATTCCAGCATTCTGGAGGCAGAACCAGACAGATGTCTCTGTTCAGGCCACCCTGGTCTACCCTAGTTCCAGGACTAGCAGTACTGAGAAAACCTGTCTCAAAAGTGAATGAATGAACAATAAATAAATGAAAATACTACTCAAACTCCAGGCTTGATGGCATACACCTTTAATTCCCAGCACTCAGGAGTAGGCGGAGGCAGGTGGAGCTCTGGAAGTTTGTGCTATCCTGGTCTACATATTAAGTTTCAGTCAGGGTTACATAGTGAGACCTAGTCCCCCCCAAAAAAACAAACAAAAACAACAAGGAACCCCCAACTTGATGGTACTCACCTGTGATCCCAGCACTTAGAAGAGGAGGATTGTTGAGTTCCAGGACATCCTGGGAATATTTTATTCTAGTTGGATCAACACACACACACACACACACACACACACACACACAGCTGGTACGCTGTCAAAACCTGTACTCTCAGCATTTAAGTGAAGGAGTTTGAGGCCTTCATGGGTTGGATGAGAGACTTTCTCAGAAAACAACACACCAAAGTGTATGAGCTGAGTTCAGTCCTCTCAGAATCCTGGATGAAGTCTCTAACGCCGCAGGTCTGTGCCCACCAGGTCTGCACATAAATAAAAGTTGAAGGCAACAAACAACAAAAGTGAAGCCAGCAGCCCCGCCCCCGCCCTGCTGGCTTCCCCAGCAGCAAAAGCTCTTTCTCATCTGCCTAGCAACTCCCTACCCTGAAGCTCTTCCTTCAGTTTCCCCACCACCTTCACCCAGTCCTGCCCTGAGTGTCCGGGCTCAAACTCGCAATCCGTCCTGCAGAGTCTGACCACCCTCGATTTCCTATAGCGTGTGTGGTGTATGCTATAACTCACATAACATTGTGCAGCTTCCTTACTTCTGCTTCCTTCCGATAAATGAACCCTGCTAGGCCAAAGCTTTTATCTCTGCGAACACGCATCAAAGCCTGAAGAGGTCCCAGCACAAGCTGGGTCCTCAATAAATATTTGTGAAATAACCGAAGTTTTAAAAACAGCTTGGCCTGGAGATGTGGGGGTGTAGTCAGGCATTTGGGAGGCCTTGGGTTCCACGTTTTAGTTCCTACTTTGCCTTTATACTTTAAAGTATAACAGACATACCCATACATAGTAGAAGAAAATATTGCAAAATGTTAGTGGTCATTTCTGGTGGTATTTTTTTCCTTCTTTGTGTTTTCCTGTGGGTTTATTCCCGAAATCCTACGTTAAAGTGGACTGTTATAGGGGAAGCATACTGGTGCACACCTATAATCCAGCACTCAGAACACTGAGGCAGTGACATCGCAAATTCCATACCAACGTCCATATGTGAGGTACATATAGAGACAAAAGAAAGGGGGTGTGTTTGAAATAGTTCAGTGAGAAAAAGTGCCTGCTACTACACCAGACGACCTGAATTCGCTCCAAAGCCCATATGATGAAAAGACAGAACCGACTGTCTCAAGTTGTCTTTTGACCTACAGGACACACACACCGCTCAGTGAATAATAAAGAAAATGCAAATGTCAAAGCTACACATTTAAAACAGTATTATTTTATCATAAGAAAATTGCTTTCTAAACCTCTCGTGAGCCTCTAGGGCCGTGTATTCAATGTCACACACAGCGAATTGCTCTTGTGAATTTCATGAATCTCTTTTCCAGTAGGAGATTCATCAAAAACTGGAGAGGTATATATATTGCAAGGACATCCGTATGTAAAATACTGCTTTTATTTTGTAGTAAATACTGCTGAAAAGAATAAATATCCTTGCCTCGCCCATTCAGGGCAACATCCCCAGGGAACACACCCACCTAGCAACCAGGAGCAGAGCGGAAGAGCAGCGCTGCGCCTTTAATTCCGCGACTGGGGTGGGGTAGCCCGGAGAGGTTCCGCTCCCCCACTCCCTCTGTACCTCCAGTGGCAGCTGTCACCTGTAAGCCGAGCACCACTCAGGGGCATGGAGCCCAGCACCCATTGGATAGAACCTCTCGGCAGCAACCTATCCCCCAGGCTGGGGGCCCGGGCAGGCGCAGGCGGAGGGCAGGAGCCCCAAGTGCCCTTCGCCCGGAGACGTCCCAGTGCGGCGGGGAGGGCGTGACTGCAGTCCAGCTTCGGGGATCAGAGCTCCAGGTGAGCCTGGCGAGGCGGCTGGGGCGACCCCGGAGCCGCAGGGACCGAGCATGGCTCTGGCAGCCGCAGCCGCTGCCGCCGCTGCCGCCGCAGGGGTGAGCCAGGCGGCAGTGCTGGGCTTCCTTTTGGAGCACGGCGGGCAGGTGCGCAACTCCGAGCTGCTGAGTCGCTTCAAGCCGCTGCTGGACGCTGGGGACCCGCGCGGCCGCGCAGCCCGCAGGGACCGCTTCAAGAAGTTCGTCAACAACGTGGCGGTGGTGAAGGAGCTGGATGGGGTCAAGTTCGTGGTGCTGAGAAAGAAGCCGCGACCGCCG